AGAAGTAAATAGAAAAACAAAAATTCAGCGTCTTCTTCTACTTCACGCCCACCAAAATCAACTCTGTCTACCCTCCTCACAACACAAAGCCCTCTGCATCCCATCCACACAACAGCCTCTTCCCATCTCTCACAATCCCCTCCTGTGGGTAAAGGAGAACCCATATGAAGTACTGCATTAGTGTCAGCCTCTTAAAGGTTGAAATGTGCAATGGCATGGGAACGCCTTGCTCTCATGCCAAAATTTTGCGGACAGGTGTGTTGATGGTGCACACTTCGGATTTCGAAGCAAGTAAAACGTGGATTTCAATTTGTGGACATGATACTTCAATTTGGCCAGTGTCAAAGTGTTGCGGATTGGCAGAAATTGGCAAGGCATGGACTGATCCATCTTGATGTTCAGTGTGCTCTAGACCACAAATTCAGGTGTCGAAATCAAGCACATGTTTTACACATTTGTTGAGTAGTTTTCGTGGTCCATATAGGTGGAAAGTATGGACAGTTGTTGGGAAATGTAGTAAGAGGCAGTTTTCTGGTAGTTTTAGTCATAGTGGGTGGGTTTATCCATTTGGCAGTTAAGGGTGTTAATTGCACACGAATTTTAGCTCTATATATTTGAAGGTTTGGATTGATGAGACATAGAGAGAGGGTGTGGTGTTCATTCAGTGTTCATTCGTATTCTTGTATTATTGTGGAGTAATAAACAGGTTGGGTGTTTACCCGTAATTTTCGTGTTCATTTACATTGTTGCATTTATCTTTCTTTGTGTACGTTGTACAAATTTGTAGGCTGGTTGAGTGGAAACTCGGTGCCATCATAGGCTAAAATTTGGCCAAGCATTTTACTAAGAATTCGTCCGTGTGATAATTGGTATCAGAGCTCCCAGGTCGCAGTTAACGGATTTCGTTTGCAGGCATGGCTGCAAGTCAGAATCTTAAGGATCAGGTTGCTGCGATGGAGGATTTTGTTGGTGCTCCTATGATCGACTGTGCAGTCAGTTTGGCTGCACAAATCCATCCACATACTGATGTGCACACAGAATTGAGGGCTCAGTTCGAAGAGTATGTCAGCAGGGTAGACGAAAGACAATCGACATTCATGAAAGATCTGTTGGATCTTGCTGATAACACAAATGCTTGGTTTTATACCCTTGAGAGTGAAATTTCCTTGTTGAAATTGCAGTGGGTGCTTCAAATATTTGTGTCCCTGAATCAAAGCGGTTCAACGGTGCTCATAATGCCAAAGGGTTGGAGAACTTCCTGTAGGATATGGAGTAGTACTTCAAAGCTATTCATATTCTAGAGGATGAGCGGGCAAATATCACTTCAATGTATCTTTCAGGCGATGCAAAGTTGTGGTGGCAAACTCATGTGAAGGATGATGAAGCTACATGCCGTTTATTGGTTGTTACTTGGGAAATGTTGCAGAAGGAAGTGAAGGATCAGTTCCCGCCTTACAATACGGCTTGGGTTGCAAGGAAATCTCTCAAAAAGTTAATGGCGGTCGGATAGTTTTTGGGAATATGTAAAAGAATTCAATAGTCTCATGCTAGATATCTAAAATATGCTAATGAGGATAAACTTTTTAACTTTTTGTCGGGATTACAAAGTAAGCCACTGGCAAAATAGCGGAGGCAATGAGTAAAGGACCTTTCTCAGCAATGGCTGCAGCGGATTATCTTGTTGACTACAAAATTGGGCGGTAACTCTTATGTTCAGAGGAAGAGCAATAAGAAGAAGGCTGACATATCGAAAGATTGAAAGAAAGAGGATAAGAAGAAAAAATTCGAGGCCCCTAAATCGAAAGATGGTAATCAGTCTGAACTTAAGTTAAAGAGTTTCAGTGGTCGCTTCATTTGTAACGATCCCCATCGCGCAAATGAATGTCCAAAGAGGGAGAAATTAAATGGTTTACGACTGGAAGACGATGATGATAACTCGAAGGATGCCCCATCTAGAGTTTACAACTCGCGAATGCTATCCATACACTGCAGCATGGCTTGATGTACATTCGGGTTACTATTTATGGTAAGGAGGTGTTAAAATGATGGATATGGGTGCTACCAACGACTTCGTAAGTTCGAGGATAGTTGAAAAGCTAGGTTTAAGCATGACTCAAGTAATTACGAAACTTAAGGCTGTTAATTCTGCAGCACAGCTTATGAAGGGATCTGCTTAAATCACCCTTCGTGTTGGTGAATGGGGGGGAAATTGCAATCTGATGTTTGTTCACTTGGATGATTTTGATTTGATTCTTGGAATCGAATTCTTTGCCAAGGCAAAGGAGTCTGTGGTACCACATTTGAATGGGTTATACATTGCAGATGAAAAGAGTCCTATTTTGTGCCGCTAGATATCTTGACAAGAATAAGGGAAAGCATATTCAAGATGATATGCAATCTACGAAACAGCTTAAGACAGGTCACAGGAAAGGAAAGATGACTTTTGTTGCAGCTTGGTAGAAATTAAATAGGATCAGGTTGTACAGGTACCTAATCAGGTTGCAATTGTCTTGGATGAGTTCGTTGATGTGATGTCCCTAGAACTTCTAAGAACTCTCCTACCTCAACATATTGTTGATCACAAAATTGAATTTGAATTAGGTGTGAAGGCTCCTGCACATAGTGGTGGCTCGGCTCGGCCCATATACTCATAAGCTCGGCTCGTGCTTAAGGGTCGAGCTCAGCCTACGAGCTCGTGAGCTTACTAGTCGAGTCGAGCCGAGCCGAGCC